TTTTTCAAATTTTTTTTGGGTGAATACCCATTTGAAAGTGCTCTGCTGTTGCAACACATTTTTGTGTTCCACAATCTTCTCTTCGTCTTTGTCTAACTTACCTTTTGTTTTTTTTTTTTCTTGAAAACCAGAATTATTCAAAACTCAAAGATCACCCAGGTTCATCTGGACAACAAACACAAATTGTAGTGCTTCAATTAAGCAATGTAAACCCAAAGATCCCTTCGCAACATGGGAACTGCCATAGCCATTACCATTAGCTATCCAAAATGTTTAGAACCTGTTTTTCACCAATGCGCATTAGTCCAATTAAATAAGAGCAGATGCAGTCTCTTGAACGCATTAGACTTGGAGGATGGATTAATTTTTTTATTTTTTTTTGAATTGCTTCAATGAAATGAAATGGAGCCTAGCTATAAACATAGTTAAATTTGCAGAGAAACTCACTGTTGGTACTGTTCATAGAGGGAAGGCGTACAAAAAGAAGAAAAAGTACAGGTCAATACGTTTTTTTTCTTGGTGAATTTTATAAACAACGTGTTTGTCAACCACGTTTTGTACAAAAAAAAAACTCCAACTTTTACGTTTGAAGCGTGATTTGTTGAATCCGTTCTAAAAAATATCGTAATCTGATAAAGAAATTTAAAAATATCGTATTTGGTAATTTTATTTTAACATTACTGTATTTTGGAAATAAGCTCTGACTCACTATTTTGGTAATTTTATTTTAAAATACTTTATTGACTCACTACTTGGACCACTGGCAACTATAAAACGGTAAATAAACTCTCATCGCCAGGGACAAAATTGTCTTCTAACAACCGACCTTCCACGATCCAACCTCATCCAGCCAAGAATTTCCCTTTCTCTCAGCGTTTGCCGTCTCGCCATTAAATCCCCAATCTTCCCAAACCCTAAGAGAGAGAAAGCGCAATTGAGGGATAGATAGTAGTCGACGGACCCATATGGAGATAGCACCAGAGGTTCCAGCGTCTCCGAACGGCGGCGAGGCCAGAGACACCATCAGCACCGTTTCCTCCGCCGTGGAACCTTCCTCGTCTTCTTCATCGGAGAAGGAGATTAACAGTATGAATAATGATAGGGTGGCGAGCAAGTACGATGATGATGAAGAAGAGGAGGATGTGTGTCGGATCTGCCGGAACCCTGGCGATGCTGAGAATCCTCTGAGGTATCCGTGCGCGTGCTGTGGGAGCATCAAGTTTGTTCATCAAGAATGTCTTCTTCAGTGGCTTAATCACAGCAACGCTCGTCAATGCGAGGTTCATTCGATCTCTCTCTCTTGAATATATCGATAGGTATATCAGTTTGGGGATATTGTGTAAGTGTATCAATATTTTATCTTGGATTGATCGTCAAGGGTTGGTTGGGAGAATTAAGGTTTTAAAGAATTACGAGATAATTGTATGACTTTTTACCTCGGACTGGCACCTTTGAAAAAACCCTTGGGTACTTAATTGAAGAAAATTAGGTGAAATTAGATTAGTTCATGCCGCCAATTGCATAACTAAGATATAAAGAAAATGTTATGTCTCGGTCAGCAATGACAGAGGGACATCGAAAATTGATGGAGAGAAGTTTTGGGAAGACCACATAGTTGGCGTTAGATTTTTCCGGCAATGGTGTCAAAATGGGAACTTTGAACTTGATCACCTTGCTGCGCAGGCGAGATAAGCCTTTTGGGTGACCTTGGGAGTTGGGATTCCCCAGACAGGGGGAGGCACCTAGCATTGAAACCAAGATTGAATTGAATTTAAAAGTTTTTAGTGAAATATCATAGTTTTATGGCGTGAGCAAATGAGTTTTTCTCAAGGAATAATCTCATTTTGTCTTTCATATTCATGTTTAAACAATAATAAGGGAGGGCCATTGTGATATTGTTCTCTCTCGAGAAGGGATTTTAGGAGATGGGAAGAATTAGAAGAAAAAATAATGAGTGATAAATGGAGAAATATTAAGTATTTAGGTTTGACTGCATATGCTCAATTATTTTTATTTATGAGTTGGTCCCATTTGACTTGGGTATCTGCCTCAATTTATTAAAATCAAACCGAAGAGGGGTTTGAAAATTTTGAATTTTAGTATATATGGAGATAATGAAAGTAAAAGAATGATTTTGATGTTGTTTAGGTCTACTCTTATATGTTTATTTTTTTCACTTCTTCTCTTGCATTTCCCATTGTGTGTGGGATGTTAAAGATATGAATGTCCTCTGATGTATGGCCCTTTTTTTGGGGAAAAATATTATTGTCTTTGTTTACTGAAGAAATTAATTGTTTGGTTGGTTATAGTGATGGTTGCATTAATGCTTATATTACTCTGTTTTTAGTTAAATAAACTTTTTTCTCATATGTTTGTATGGACAATTATGGAAATTTGTGCGTTGCTTCACTTTTGCAAGCACGTTGCAAGTACCCATCAGTGTGATCTTGGTACCCGGGGACACCATTTGCCTTCAATTACACTGATTCTGAGAAGAAAGCTACACGAGTTCTTCTGCTCCAAATAAGACTCACAGAAGATTGAATAAAAATTGAAGGGGGCCCATAGAATATCCCTTACAAGTAAAATATAGGTGTTGGCAAAATTTGATTGTTCATTCTGTGTCTAAATACTCATTCATGATTCAGTTTCCAATGTGATTTTGAGGGATTAGTGGTTGACAACAAGGCAATCACCCCAGAGAAATATGATGAATATGGACAATTAAAACAAGTTTTTGGTTAGATTGGCATGCATTAGATGATGTCTGACATCTGGAGCTGCAAACTTAACGATACCGAACCTCAGACTGCATACGCATTTACGTTTGTAAGGGAGTTGGCAAGTATTTCATTAGTTCCTCCTGTTGGAATTGAGATAGCTAACAATTGCGGTAGAACTGTGTTGCTCTAGCAAGCTAACGAATGAGAAGTGATCTCTAGTAGCTTGTAAAATTGGTGTGCAGGTCTTTTGATTGAGTGATCATATTGATACCAGAAATTTTCCAGTGCTAAATCAGGGTATTTATATGATTCCAATGCCTACCTATTATGTGCTAATTTGAGAGAATTCTGACTGCATCAGATATCATATACAGAAGATTTGCCTATGACTCCACATAGCATAGAATTTATATTTTTGGGATTCAACACTTTCCAGTGCTACACTACTGAGCACAGCTCATTACTTTTATCTGCGAGTTTGAGCTCTGTCATTTTTGGTGGATGTTATTGGCTAATGCTTTTCCATTTTCCTTCATTTGTTCCTTAAATGATCACTGTTTTTTTGAGATTTTCTCAATTCTTTCTCTTAAAATGCAATGCAGGTCTGCAAGCATGCATTTTCATTCTCCCCAGTTTATGCTGAGAATGCTCCAGCAAGGCTTCCTTTTCAGGAATTTATTGTTGGGATGGCCATGAAAGCATGCCATGTTCTGCAATTCTTTTTGCGCCTTAGTTTTGTACTCTCGGTTTGGCTTCTCATTATACCCTTCATTACATTTTGGATATGGAGATTGGCATTTGTTCGGAGTTTTGGTGAAGCCCAGAGACTATTCGTGAGTCATATATCTACTACAGTTATTCTGACTGACTGTCTGCATGGGTTCCTACTATCTGCAAGTATTGTATTTATCTTTCTCGGGGCCACTTCTCTGAGGGATTACTTCAGACATCTACGAGAACTTGGAGGACAGGATGCTGACGGAGGGAATGAAGGGGACAGAAATGGTGCTCGTGCTGCAAGAAGGCCTCCTGGACAAGCAAATCGGAATATTGTCGGTGATGGAAATGGTGAAGATGCTGGTGGAGGGCAAGGAATTGCTGGAGCTGGTCAACTATTCAGAAGGAATGCAGAAAATGTTGCTGCTCGGTGGGAGATGCAGGCAGCTCGTCTTGAGGCACATGTTGAACAGATGTTTGATGGCTTGGATGATGCTGATGGTGCAGAGGATGTACCTTTTGATGAGCTAGTTGGCATGCAGGGGCCCGTTTTCCATTTGGTTGAAAATGCATTCACTGTGAGTCTTTTTCTCCTTGTATTTCTGACCCAATCTTCATTTTAGCGTGTACCACCCCCAGTATCATGATCCATCTTCTGTTTCAGTTCTTCGCTTCGAACTGCACTGAATTGTGATGACCATACTTAATATTATCAACATTAGGCTGTTGGTGATTTCCTACTTTTAGATTCAATTTGAGCATGAAACTATGGGCTTCATTATGTTTGCGACCTGGGCTCTTTTATGATTAGTAGATAGTTAAGTACGGGGAAGTGACTCTTGTCATCGTGGCAAGGAGCTTTTGTGCTTTATCTAAAACACAATTTCCTTTTTGTATTTTTTTGGCGGTCAAAAGCATTAAAGCAGGATATCTCATGCAAAACAGTACATGCTAGCATATAATTTTGACACTTATTGCAGACATCCAGATGCAATGAGCATTGGTTGGTGTGGGTGGGATCTCTGATTCTTTACCTTTACCTTTACCTCAGCCGATGACACATTATTACTTCACAATCTAGTTTACTCCTTATTTATAGGAGGTCAGATATGGCCATCTCCCAATGCTGTTTGTGTGGAGAACATCTCATAATTTCATTGCTTCATGCTTAAAAGGAAGAGAGGGGTGGTGGTATTTTATTAAGTTTATTTATTTCCAGCTTGCTTTAGTCTTGGAAAATGTATCTCACTTACAGCTGCTTGATAAAACAGTTCATGCATTTTGTAGAGACTTGCATGCACCCAGAATCCATTTTCGAAATATTCTTCCTGTGATCTGGGTCATCATCCCTTCCTCTCAACCCCACAGTTTTCTAGGCTTGTTAAATATATTGAATTTTCGCATACTGACAATGGTTTGTTGACGTGCTCTTTTATTTGGGGGTTCTCTAATGCAGGTTCTTGCAAGCAATATGATATTCCTTGGTGTTGTAATCTTTGTTCCGTTTTCACTAGGACGGATTATACTCTATTATTTAACGTGGCTTTTGTCAACTGCTACCAGTCCAATGTTGGCAACGGGTATGCCACTTACAGAGTCAGCCCTCTCTTTGGCCAATATTACGTTGAAGAATTCATTGACTGCAGTGGCAAATTTGACTTCTGATAATCAGGAAAACAGTCTGCTAGGCCAAGTTGCAGAAATGTTGAAAGTAAATGCTACTGGAGTGAATGAAGTATCAAACAATATTAGTACACCACTTTCAGCTGATCTTCTGAAAGGGGCATCAATTGGGACATCAAGGCTTTCTGATGTTACAACTCTTGCAGTCGGCTACATGTTTATATTCTCTCTTGTTTTTTTCTACCTTGGAATTGTTGCGGTGATTCGGTATACTAAAGGTGAGCCTTTGACTACGGGGAGGTTCTATGGTATTGCTTCAATTGCAGAGACAATTCCTTCTCTCTTGAGGCAGTTTTTGGCAGCAATGAGACATTTAATGACTATGATTAAGGTTGCTTTCCTTCTTGTCATTGAACTTGGGGTTTTCCCTTTGATGTGCGGATGGTGGCTAGATGTTTGTACTATAAGGATGTTTGGGAAGTCAATTGCGCAAAGACTAGAGTTCTTTTCAGTGTCTCCATTAGCAAGCTCGTTGGTCCATTGGGTTGTAGGAATTGTATATATGCTTCAAATAAGTATCTTTGTTAGCCTTCTACGAGGGGTATATCTTCTGCTGCTCAAGTTTTGTATATAATTTTCAAATTACTAATCCTTTGTTACTTTCTAATTAATCCTCATATGCTTTGGGTAGGTTTTGCGTAATGGAGTTCTTTACTTTCTTCGGGATCCAGCTGATCCCAACTACAATCCATTCCGTGATCTGATCGATGATCCTGTGCACAAGCATGCTCGTAGGGTTCTGTTGTCTGTAGCTGTTTATGGGAGTTTGATAGTGATGCTGGTGTTTCTACCAGTTAAACTTGCAATGCGCATGGCTCCCTCAATTTTTCCACTGGATATTTCGTAAGATGGTTTCACAGTATCCTATCCATTCTGTTGCAATTTTCAGTATGATATATAACCACTTCGTTCAACTAACAGATTCACAATTGTATATTGCAGTGTATCTGATCCATTTACAGAAATTCCTGCTGACATGCTTCTCTTTCAAATCTGCATTCCATTTGCCATTGAACATTTTAAATTGCGGACAACAATCAAGTCTCTTCTCCGCTATTGGTTTACTGCAGTTGGCTGGGCGCTTGGTTTAACTGATTTCTTATTGCCTAGACCTGAGGATAATGGTGGCCAGGAAAATGGAAATGGTGAAGCAGGAAGGCAGGATAGAATACATGCACAACCCGGTGGACAGGATCGGGCTCTGGTAGTTATGCCCCCCGATGATTTGAACAGAGCCAGGCAAACGGCAGTGAACTCAAATTTTGCAGAGGAGTATGATGATGATGATGAACAATCTGATTCAGAGTAAGTTGTAATATGATAAATTTCAATCACTATATTGTTGGAAATGGAATAAAATTTACGTCATTTCAGGAAAATTTCTATAAAATCTTTGTTGGCTTTAGTTTGAAGTTGGGGTATTTCAATTATTGTCCTATCCGGCCTGCATTTTACCGTGCAACTTCAATGTTAATAGCTTTCACACTTGCTTTTATATCACAGATTGAAATTCATTAGGGGAGAGCATATTGGACTCCATTGTGAGAACGAAATTCCATTGCGCTACTTGGCAAATAATTATTTTTCCATGTCTCTTTATGCATTTTGTTTTTGAAATGAATTAAAAAAATGCTACTGTAGTAACAATGTAGAAAGATCAACTAGCTATATTTTATTTTCTGGATGTCCATTACTCATGTTAGCATGAATATCTACCGTAGCATGTGCTCAGTTATTATTGAAAAAATCTTCAGATGCCTTCAACTTTTTTTGTTTTTTTCCTGATATGTTGTGTTGTGCTACCATTTGGATATGGAACCATTGTTATCATTTTGAAAACTTAAGTTGAATTGTGCCTTTATTTATGTGTCTTTTGTTTACGTCCTTTTTCAAGGTTTATTCTTCCCTAGGATTATTTGTTTAGTATTTTAGTGTATTTTGTACATTGGTTTAACTTCCTGAAATTCTTTTTCTTTGAGACAATGCTGTGCCTATATTTATGAACAAATAACAATTGCATAATTGAGTTGAGTTTCAAATTTTTTAACTTTTTTTGTCTCCCTCTAATTTTTTTGGATTCCGTCTTTCAGTAGGTATGGCTTTGTGCTTCGCATTGTGCTATTATTGGTGGTGGCTTGGATGACACTACTTATCTTTAACTCTGCCTTAATTGTTGTACCTGTTACACTTGGACGGGCACTCTTCAATGCCATCCCTCTTCTCCCAATAACACACGGTATCAAGTGCAATGGTAATATGGTTAATTACACTTGGTATAGTCAATGTGTTTTTGCCATAGGGATAAAAAGATTAACTTTCCACTGCCTGATTCTGTTCAGACTTATATGCTTTCATTATCGGGAGCTATGTCATTTGGACTGCTGTTGCTGGAGCAAGGTATTCCATTGAGCACATCCGAACAAGGAGGGCTGCAGTTTTGCTAGGCCAAATTTCAAAGTGGTGTGCCATAGTTTTGAAGAGTTCTGCACTGTTATCAATATGGGTAAGAACCTATCCTGGTTATTGTTTCTCCAATGTTCAATTTTCTCTTTTTGACCCTCTATTATTCGAGCGTCTCTGACTCTGCCGTTGCCTTCCAGATTTTTGTCATCCCGGTGTTGATTGGACTGCTCTTTGAACTTTTGGTAATTGTGCCCATGCGGGTACCTGTGGACGAAAGCCCGGTTTTCCTTTTGTACCAGGACTGGGCATTGGGACTCATCTTTCTCAAGATCTGGACCAGACTGGTGAGCCTTTTATCATTTTCTTTTTCTGTGGCATCTGTCTTTGAGATATAAAACAAACTAACTAGGATGACTTTGGAAGTATTTGAGTCATTAGCTGGCCAGTGGCCTGTTCCAAAAAGTTGCCACCCTTTGTTGCCTCTGCACATGAAACTTAGGTGTTCTATTACCATGTGCTAAATCTTGTCTTCCCTAGCTCTCTTCTAGTGGTGTCATTACCCCATCGCCAGTTATAGATGACCCCTTGTCTTGTATCCCCTTACATTATGATGCAATTATTTGCTGATGAGATATGGCAAAGTGGTCAAGTTCTCAAAATAAACCATGTTGTACCTTGTTTTGACTCCTATCCTGTGGCCTCTCTTCAACTCTTATATTCTTGTCTTCTTTATATAACCAAGTTCCTTTCTCACTAAAATAGATCAAGTTCTCTTCAATGACGAATTGACTATGCAATACACATGCTTCTTTCCCAGAATGGAGCCAGGGTTGTTCTTGTTAAATGGGTCTAAACTTTGTTTCTTCTTCTTCACCTGCTTGTAACTTGGGATTGGTCATGAAATGAATAATTTATATGTTTTTCCAAATTCCTTGAATTGTTTCCATCTTTTATATATTTTAAAAATCTCATCACTTCGTTGCATCAAATATTATGCCACCCTCCATTTTCCCAGACTTTTGAGTGCACAAGCGTAAGACAATCAGAAGAGCCTGGTGTATTGAAAAATCCTTCCTTCTTGAACTGTCCCATGCCAGTCCATGTAACTCCAAACAGTGTCTGAAGACTCCAAAAGAAATAAATTATATTTTTTAAAGGGACTAAATGTTAATTTGCACTTGTTTTGCTCTTAAACAGGTTATGCTGGATCACATGATGCCGCTGGTGGACGAGAGTTGGAGAATGAAATTTGAAAGGGTGAGAGAAGATGGTTTCTCGAGGCTGCAGGCCTTTTGGGTGCTGCGGGAGATTGTCTTTCCAATCATTATGAAGCTGCTTACTGCGCTGTGCGTTCCCTATGTTTTAGCAAGAGGAGTGTTCCCAGTATTTGGCTACCCATTGGTAGTTAACTCAGCTGTCTATCGATTTGCCTGGTTGGGATGCCTTGGCTTCAGCCTGTTGTGCTTTTGTGGCAAGAGGTTTCATGTCTGGTTCACCAACCTCCACAATTCAATACGTGATGATCGCTATTTGATTGGCCGTAGGCTTCATAACTTTGGGGAAGACACAGGAGAGAGACAGAATGAGCCTTCGATTTCCTCTGAAACGCAAACTTCAAGTTCACACGACACTGGTATAATACAACATGACAGAGAAGCAGATGTAGGGCTGAGGCTGAGGCGTGCTGTATGACCAAATGCCTAATGCCTAAATTATGAGGTGGACGGTACAGCCAGTTTTGGCCCTTTTTTGAGGCTGCTGAGATTACGAATTGGATGGGTGCACAAATTGTCAAACAGGTTGTAGGCCCTCCAGATGTGTGCTTTTGTGCTACATACATTAATTAGTTAATTGTCTAACTTGTGAATAGAATTTGTGGAACTTTAGTCTGTTTAAACTCAGTCGTTGGTATATATGAAACAACGAAACTGAAATGAGTGATGGTAAGTGTCTTACATCGTCTTAGTTTCAGCTGGTAAGCTACCTTACCTGAGCTCTTACAGGCGCAACCGTTTGCCATGCACATTCTACATGTTCCAAGAAAAAGAAAAACAAAGGTCAAACCGGTTGTCATCGGTGGAGGAACGGCGGAATTTTTCACATTAAGATTGAAAGTTGAAGTCTTAGAACCTATATTAAAGCTAACTAGGTTTGTTCCGAGAGAAATAACAGATTCAATCAGAAGTCTTATAATCCCACTAGTAAATGAGAGTCTGTCAATGATGATCTCTGAATGTTCTCCTCTGTATCATCCTTTTATTTCAATATCCACCAAAAAAAAATAAAATTGTAGCCATTGGACATACCAAATTGAACACTGTTCCACATTAGTAAAAGCATTAGATGAAGGCAAGACACAAGGCACATGTATCATCACGGTCTTAAAAACAAACACAAAACAGAATAGTGCAGAGGTCATAACAAAATCAGCGCACTCCCACCACAAAACTCGAAAAAAAATCGAAGTCTCACCCAATGTACGGAAAAGCAGTCACGAGAATGTGTAGTATCATTTTAAGTGCATGCATTCAGGAAACAATGCCATCGTTCAACGACAATGAGGCCAACTGATCAGCAGGGCTGGTTGCATGCTGCTGCTGAGTAACATTCCTCAGGACATCCATTGCCTCGGAAACTTTTGCGGTCAGAGCTTCCGGGGATTCAAGCAAGTGCAAAACCTCCGTCTGATCCATCTCCAGAATCATGCCAGTAACTTTAGCTGCCATACCAGGCTCAAGCTGTTCCACAAGCGGGTACAAATTTTCACCCAGCATCTGTGTATCAAAAAGACAACTGATAAATCATCTATGAAAAGGGGCCAGCTAATGACTGTTGTGGTGTAAAATGGTCATTATTCATTAATTTCCAGGAAAAATTAAATATGCGACCAGATATTGGAATTTATTTAGTGGGAATGGCTAATTGCTAACCCTCATTGCAAGCGATATACTGGAACTTAATTAGTATAAACCTCTCCAATCCGCTACTCTACTGCCCCAAAAATAAACAAATGGATAAATTGAGGAAAGTTCCTACCGTCCTCTGTTCTGCAGCAGTAGCATTTGCCAGGGCAGAAGCCAAAGCCCCAGTTGGAATGGACTGAGTTGTTGCTGCATCATGCAACGGCATGCCACCAGTCTCATATGGAACAGGAAACATGCCTCCAGCTATACCCAGCATGGAAACATCAGGCATGCCACGCCCTTGAGGGTAACGATATGCACGTCCCCTAGGAAGCAACTGTCATACAAAAAAGGCATCAAAATGTAACAAATGCGAAGAACAATAAACAATTGGGTGTTATTCGTTCCTTTTGTTATTTTTTATTTTTTTGCTGTTGTGGTGGGGGGTTGCAGAACTACCACCAACCTGCTGCTGCATTAGTGCAACTGGCTGTTGGCTCCGCTGTGCTGGAACAGGTCCTGCACGTCTGCCACCAGGACGGAAACCCTGCTGCCCCTGATGAACTAGTGGCATAAAGAAATTTGGCATGGGAGCAACAGCAGGCCTCATACCAGGAACAAGTTGCTGCTGATACCCAAAACCAGGCTAACAAGCATATAAACCGAGTCAACGAATTTGTCATCAACATATTTTACTATAACAGAAAGACTAGATGCCAAACACAATCCTCTCAATGATTATACTGAAAAACAAACTTGTAATGCAGCTATAATATATCTTGAAACAGGTGTCAACAAGTGTGCTTTCATAACTAAGAGCAACTGTCTCTTCAATACAGGTAAATGTCAGTCCAAACAGATATTTATTTATCATATCATAATGGTGTGTAACTAGAAAAAACCAATGTCCATACACGCCAGGGCAGAAACAAACGATTAACAATGACGGATGTAAACATTTGGTCAAGCAGAAAAGTATGAATTCTCCACACGCCCACGCCCACGGGTACACCAATAATATCTAAACAGTTGCCGAAATTCACAATCGCAGCTTTGTGATAGTGTTTTCATCATCCAATCAAAAACTCTGCGTAGGTGTTTTATACAGGGATCTTTTCTTCGAATGGATTATTCTCAACAAAAGGAGTATAAATACGTAATTCCACAATCTAAAACAGTTCAGATTATCAGAGTATGGAAGATATATATACGAATAATATTGACAGGAAACATTGATGAAAACTATATGAATAATAAGATTACTTGGGGAGGGATGATAGAAGGAGGTGCTTGTCCGTAGAATAACTGTTGTCCCAAACCTGGACCAGCAGGGGGGTACATTGGCATACGAGGAGCGACTGCAGGTGCCATTGCAGTTGGACGCATTTGAGAAAATTGTGCCTGTGTAAGCAACAGAAATAACCAATTTCAATTAATCATGTTTTCTCCCCAGAATGTTGACAGAATTTGATGCAATAAAACACCTAAAGTTTCATGTCATTAATCTGTGTAGCATCTTTTTCAAGTCAAAAAATTCTGAAATAAATTATATTTTTCCTTAGCAAAAAGTTTGGAAGGTTGTGCTAAGAGAAAACAGCAGTAACTAGCAGGCCAACATCCTGTAACAACTAAATTAAGACTGTCTCCCCTTCTAGTACTTTTGCTGTCACTCTAGGGTTAGTTGAAAATCAGGACAAGCATGTAGAAAATACCTGCAACTTTGCTCTTCTCTCTTCTTTTCGCTGTGCAAGTGCAACATATAGAGGTTTGCTAACAATCATCTTGCCATTCATCTCCAAAAGCTACCAAAAGAAGCAATCACGAGGTATTTTATGATAAAGTTCAACATAAACATGTGACAGATCAACTTACTGCTCTAGAAGCCTCTTCAGGAGATGAAAATGAAACAAACCCTGATCCTCTACTTATTCCGCTTGTGTCTCGCATAACCTGTTGATATGTTAAAACAGATAAACTTCAGTAAACATCAAACCACTAACATATCGAACTACACAGGCGATTTCCAATTAGATAAATAGACGCCACAAACCTTGCATGAAGTTATCGTGCCAAACGGAGAGAACATTTCCTTAAACTTATCATCATCAATGCTATCATCTAAATTTTTAATGTATAGGTTCATCCCTTGTGATTTGTCAACTGCCTCCTTCACACTTTGCTCAAATCGAAGTTTCAGTTCATGCTCTCTCTCAGATTTCTTTTGGGCTTTTCCTACATACCACTCCTTGTTATCAAATTTTTGTCCATTAAGAACCTCCACAGAGCTAGCAGCATCCTCCGCATTTTCAAAGTTGACAAAGCCAAAACACTTTGAGTTTCCATCCACATCTCTCATCACTGCGACACTGGTGATTTTTCCAAAATCACCAAATATTTTACTTAGATCCTCTTCGTTTGTTGATTCGGACAGATTCTTTACATAGACATTAGTAAACTTTGTCTTGTCCACATCCATTTCTCTTTCCTGCTTGCGAACAAAGGGTCCTACATATACTTGCTTATCATTCAATAGCATACCATTCAGCTTTTCAATAGCTTCTTGGGCTGCTTCGTCAGTGCCATATTGCACAAAACCATAGCCTTTTGACTGACCAGAGGAGTCAGTAGCTACCTTGCAAGAAAGAATGTTCCCAAATGTAGAAAAGGTGTCATGTAGTGCTTTGTGGTCAATTGCCTTGTCCAAATTCTGTCAATCCAAAACAAATGAGACTCAAAAGTAAAACCAAAAGATAAAAAATAAAAACTAGAACATTTTTTAACAAAAAATGAACAAATCAAACTGAACAACTGGTTAGGGCCCGGTCAAATGAAACCACAAAAGGTATTACTCTATATTACTAATAAAAAGTAGCTAAGAAGAAAAACTTTTGTTTTCTAGTTTATCCTTGATGTATTCCATAAAGTCAATTTTGTCCTTGATCTTGATCCCATAGTTGTCACTACTGTTTACACCTCATGGTTTTCCATGCATTTCATCTTCATTCAATGTATTAGTTACAATTTAAAACTCCAACCTTCCAGCAACTCTCTCTTAAGGAGCCTTGTGATTCACCAACCCTCATACTGTCTATTTCTTTCCATTTCTCCTATAATATCAGCACTAGCATTGAAAGGATCCAAGGAAGGTGCCAATGTATGTTCAGCGGGAGCCTTTGGTTGCTTTCTTTCCATTAACGATAAAGGTCAGTTGAGGGGGAGGGAATATTGGTTCTCCATTTGCATTGATTTCCAGAGGATATAATTTCAAGGATAATATTAGAAGAGCATAAATAAAATGTAAGGTTTAAAAAGTCCATTGTCTATGACAATAAAGAGTAATAATCCCTTTCTACATGCAATTGTACCACTTCAAAATTTTTAGTTTAATGATTTGTTTATATATAGATATTCTTCGGTTCATCAAATATGGAGAAAATTGCTTGCTCATATGTGAAATGAAATTATAAACATTCAACCAAAAGCAAATGGGTCAGCCCATTAGTAGCAGCCCAATTTTGATATGCATAGTATGAAATCTCAAGTTTGTTGTTTCTTTTTTATTTAATTTCATTTTCTTGCATTATTGGTAACAAGTATGGTATTTCCAAATTATGTGGTGTATGAGTGCATGAAAACAGTTATTGATTTGTTATTTCAACGGGAAACTAATTGGAATATTTGACAAAATCTAGCTTCTTATTATATTTGATAGAAAAATAGATTTAGAGCTCAATAAAATCGTATATCTTGCAGTATGTTATGATTATTTTTTTTGCTGTGAAGTATGTTATGTTTCCTAATTGCAATAACAAACAGTAAGGGGTCTAAAATTTCGCTGGTCCATGAAGTTTAGAGTATAAACTAAACAAATTGGTGAAATTATATTTGGTTCTTATCAGGCTTTAGATGAACCAATGACCACATGCATTAGGGTGAAGCTTGGAATGTTGTATATCAACCATTCAAGCTGAGCTTTGATACATATTCAACCAAAAAAACTTCTTATCAGGCTTTAGATGAACTACTTAACTCAATTGTGATGATTTGAACAGTTGTAAGTTGGGCAGTTGAGATGACTTGAGAATTGAACCTGCTACCATGTCTACTTCAAATTGTACTTATGAAGCAAGGTATTTGCAAGGCTAGCTTAATTTGGTTTTGAGAGAAAGTGAAGGATAGGAAATGAATATGGTTAAGTATGTATCATCCTCTTGTCCAGTGACCAAATTAATCCTTAACAGGACAACAAGCAGGCTTCCGGCTTCTTCTTGTTAACAACCTAAGAATTTTTTTCCTTTACCTATTTTTTCCAAAAAACTAAATGGTGGTGTATGAGTCTTGTCTTTCCTGCTTTGGCGGTTGAAAGGATGGAGGTTTCTCTTTTACATCGGTCACAATGCCATGAGTGCTTGGGCTGGAAAAAGTTTTGTACACTAGAATTGTGGAATTATGTCCTGTTAATGTTCTTTTCAATATCATTAGTACCTCTGAAATGATATTTTTATGATACGTGTTTTCACCTGAATTTCTTTCTATAGTAAAGTAAGGTTACTGTTCTCTATGCATTTTGTCAACAATTTGAAGCTGAAATTTTGTTACTAATAGTAGATTGATATAATGTTGAAGTTACTGAGACCTGTCATCTTATGTCCAATTTGGTCATGCTCATGCCCACAAAATATAAAACATTCAGGACTGTTAATCTTTGTTTCTAGAGATGCTACGATTAGTATTTAGCTGAGTATTTGCTTTTATAGTGTGTTTGGAACTTCACTACTATGAACTGGAATAAAATTAGATCGGGTTTTTCCTAGAGGCGAGAATAGTTGATGCCACTAAGGTATTGGACTATTTCAGTGTCACTCCTTCAAGCTTGTTTTTCCTGGACCTTTGTGGTTTATTCCGGTCTCTAGAATTTATATACTTGATTTGGCTATTCATTTTTTTTTTGGTTGCAACCATTGATATTAGTCTCAAATCTGGTGCAAACTACTGAAGAAGTAATAGATCTATATCAAGATGGTCCACAATTTCAATATATACTATTTCATACTCATATAATTCACGTGCAACGCGTGTATACACCAACTAGTACCTTAATAAATATATTCGCAGCCCCACTTCTCCGTATGCTAGGGTCGCGATAAGAATACATTATCCTAATGGGTTTCCCATTAAGAGGAGTGAAGTTCAGCACCTCCAATGCCCTCGCAGCTGTCAGCAATACAGAACGAAGGCGTAAGGCATGACAAAGGAAAGGACTACAATTTATAACTCATTGCATGATTCAGATAAGAAAAAACAAAAGAGTAACTTAAATTGTAAAGCAAAAAAAAAGAAGAGAAAAAACAGCATGCTCCCTGTCACGTCACATGAAGCCCACAAATGACTTTTTGGCCCATCACACTTAACAACAAATAGTATTAGATGGGCCAATAGTTTAAGCATGACATCTTGCGGAGCAGCTCCTCTTTGCTTTGTCATGTATCATGAATTGATCATGATAATGAGGGCTCTAAACAAGCCTAGTCAAGTCCAGTAGCAGATTCCTCAAATGAAAAGAAGACAACCTTCATTTGTTGATTTCATGAGTTGACCTCAACAAAGCTTCTAACTAACCCAATGATGACAAAGCCTAAGTTAATGGTTTATGGATTTTGGATACAAAAGGACAAATGAGAAAAAGAAATCAATTAGAGTGCTCCTTTTCCTTCCCTTTACCATCAATCAAACAGAGCCTAAGGAAATTTCTTCTTTAAAAGGCAACAATAGTAACATCAAGGAAATGGTCTTCTGAGAATCTATCTTACTAATAAAAATACCTTATATGAAAAATATTTGATTCACAATTTTGTCCTAAGAAACTATAAAGGCTAGCATGTCCTTTTGTATTTAAATATGCAGATTACCATTATATCCCTCTATAATTAAATAATAAACTAACCTCTAGCATATCATGTAAATCTCTATTTTTTCAAAATTTTTAGATTGTCATATTACTCTTAATAGGATATATAAAAATATTACTTTTTTTTTTCAAAATCTTAATATTAATACACATCGACAATTTCATTGATACAATATCATTTCCGATGCCAAAAAATCAATATATGTATCTTTTTCTCTTAATCTACAATACAAATAATTTAAGCATGATAAACAAGAGATAATATCTAATTTAACTATATTTTTTTTGACTAGAAATTTGGCTATATAATTAAANAGAAGTAATAGATCTATATCAAGATGGTCCACAATTTCAATATATACTATTTCATACTCATATAATTCACGTGCAACGCGTGTATACACCAACTAGTACCTTAATAAATATATTCGCAGCCCCACTTCTCCGTATGCTAGGGTCGCGATAAGAATACATTATCCTAATGGGTTTCCCATTAAGAGGAGTGAAGTTCAGCACCTCCAATGCCCTCGCAGCTGTCAGCAATACAGAACGAAGGCGTAAGGCATGACAAAGGAAAGGACTACAATTTATAACTCATTGCATGATTCAGATAAGAAAAAACAAAAGAGTAACTTAAATTGTAAAGCAAAAAAAAAGAAGAGAAAAAACAGCATGCTCCCTGTCACGTCACATGAAGCCCACAAATGACTTTTTGGCCCATCACACTTAACAACAAATAGTATTAGATGGGCCAATAGTTTAAGCATGACATCTTGCGGAGCAGCTCCTCTTTGCTTTGTCATGTATCATGAATTGATCATGATAATGAGGGCTCTAAACAAGCCTAGTCAAGTCCAGTAGCAGATTCCTCAAATGAAAAGAAGACAACCTTCATTTGTTGATTTCATGAGTTGACCTCAACAAAGCTTCTAACTAACCCAATGATGACAAAGCCTAAGTTAATGGTTTATGGATTTTGGATACAAAAGGACAAATGAGAAAAAGAAATCAATTAGAGTGCTCCTTTTCCTTCCCTTTACCATCAATCAAACAGAGCCTAAGGAAATTTCTTCTTTAAAAGGCAACAATAGTAACATCAAGGAAATGGTCTTCTGAGAATCTATCTTACTAATAAAAATACCTTATATGAAAAATATTTGATTCACAATTTTGTCCTAAGAAACTATAAAGGCTAGCATGTCCTTTTGTATTTAAATATGCAGATTACCATTATATCCCTCTATAATTAAATAATAAACTAACCTCTAGCATATCATGTAAATCTCTATTTTTTCAAAATTTTTAGATTGTCATATTACTCTTAATAGGATATATAAAAATATTACTTTTTTTTTTCAAAATCTTAATATTAATACACATCGACAATTTCATTGATACAATATCATTTCCGATGCCAAAAAATCAATATATGTATCTTTTTCTCTTAATCTACAATACAAATAATTTAAGCATGATAAACAAGAGATAATATCTAATTTAACTATATTTTTTTTGACTAGAAATTTGGCTATATAATTAAAATTTTATGTATTTTATCAAATGTTTTAACAAAAATTTTCCCATGCAATGCACCTAGTATATTTAAATGCCAAGGAGTAAGATTATTGCCTATCTTTAAATTTTCCTCTTCTTAACTAGCATTTAGTAAATGAATTTAAGATGTTCATTTCTAAGTTCTTTCTACATCATTGCAAATTCAAGCTGTCTCCTTCTATTAAATCACCCATCTTGTTCCTAATCGCCCTAAAATCCTTGGGTTAACAAATTCAACTATCAAAACCAAGAAGCATACTTTCAAGTTCCAAGCTAATTATTTTCTTATAACACGAGTTTCCTAATGTGAATAAGAATGTGAACAAGGGCATGACATACTTTCAAGCTCAGTACTTTATTAACATGATCACCTCTAACACCTACATTGTAAAATCACACTCAATCAATTAATTGTCTTCCTTCTTCGACATACTTGTAACACACAGTTGTACAGATCAAACAAATAGAATATAACACAAACCAATTACACAGATAAATCAATAAAACCAACTACAAATGACGAATCAAAAACCAAGTAAACAACTAACCATCAATTGGATTGCTATAATTAACATAACCGTAACCAAGTGACCTTCCGCTAGCCAAGTCCCTGCATACTCGAACCGAAACCACCTGACCCAGCTGGTTAAACAGATCGTATACCTGCGAATCGGTTACATTCACCTCAAGATCTCCAACATAAATTGCAACGAACTGGTTCCCACCAGAATTCACCACCTGAGGCTGAACCTGAACCTGTGCCATCTCAATCAAAGACCAAAACCCTAATTTTTTTTTAATTTTAAAAAAAATTAATTTTTTTCTTTTTTCTTCCTCTTCCCTCTCCTCTTCTTATTCGGAATATATAGTAATCAAACCCTTGATAGCATGAAAATTGAGATAGAAGACAACGAAACCCTCTCGAAATTTGGAATTTTTTGTTTGATTTTCTTTTTGTTTTTCTGAATAGAGTGATATAGATAGAGAGAGGAGAGGGAAGGGCAGATAGGGATAGATTGGTCAGAAAACCGACAGAGGAAGGAGTGAGATCGCCGCCGGTGGCAACGGCGACGCCGGAAAGGGTAGAGAGAGAGAGAGAGAAATAAGGAGGGCAGCTTTGAACTGCTCACTGCAAATCAAAGGTGAGCTGTTTAGTTCTAATATAGTAGAAGCTATGATTGCTCAAATTTTTGCCCGGTCGGAAGTTTCTATTATGCTCTAGTAAACGATTAGCGGTAAAAATCAGATAAAAATAAGAAAAAATTTTTGGTCTTTTGATAATTTTCGGGTAAAAATATAGAATAGTCATCTATTTCTGTATTCTTATCCTACCTTACCCGTAATAATTTTTTAATATATATATATATATAAATTAAAAAAAATCCTAAACCCTAGCGGAGTAATTATAATTTTAATATATTTTGTATAATTTAAATTTTAAATTTAAATTAATTTTTATTGTATTTGTGTAATAATTATGGTGAATTGATATTCATACTTTCTTGTATTTTATTATAATTTTGATTGTAGTTGTTTTAGATTTTAGTGTTAATTGATTTATTGTGTTGTTAAATTGGTGCATGTTATTTAATTAAATTGTTAAAATGATCTAAAAATTAATTATTACAAACATGTTTACCCGACTTCCTACCCGATTAATCGGATAAGAATATTACATCTATCAAATAGGAATATGAAAGAGTATATTTTCTACCCGTAGAGTAGGGTGAACACCCCTAATAGAAGCTTATTAGAGTAGCTACAGAACAAAATCTACGCCGTTGGATTATAGTTGTGACCCCACTAAAAAGTCATTGCCGGGTCTTTCGACCCGTTTGGATCACAAAACCGGTCGGGTGGCCTCGGTAGAGGCGCACCGCTTTATAAATGGAGTAAATTATACTTATGCCACCTTGAGTTTTAGTTAAAAATTAAAGATCTCTTGATTTCCCGAAACTTACAGAAACACCCCCATATATACATGCCTCCGGAGAATTGCCTCGTTGGCATTACAGAATGGTCTAAAAGGTGATAATTAATGTAAATGAGGAACATATGATTTGTGGGTATCTATAACTCGAGTAAATATTGAGTGTAATGGTAACACTTCTTTAACATTTATTACATAGTAGACTGTTGGACCAAAATAATTTTTTAAGTGTAAAAATTGAATTTTGGTCTATTTTGAACTTAAATTAAAGTGGGACTCGATTGTTATTTTGAATAAAATTTTGTGGGTTCATATTCTACTATGTGAGGAGAATAATATAGTATATTCACTTATTCAAATTGAGTAAGAAATGAATAAAAAAATAGGCTCCAAAGTGATCCTCTTCAAATGTGAAAATAAATTAAGTACAATTTTTGATGTGACAACAATCCCACATTAGTGGAGGAAGAAATTCAACATGGGCGTATATAGGCCAAGTTTGCTCTATGAGATTGGGCATCAAGGGGTACCAAAGTTTTATGAGCGAAGCGAACACCTACATACCTTCAATTTAATCACACGCGCGCGCTGCCCCCCCCCCCTGCCTCACCTCGCCACGACCCTTGCTGGCCCGGGCGGGGCTCGGGTACGGGTGTAGTTTAGACCAAGCCCTATCTCTTTTGAAGAAAATTTATTTAATTAATTGGGTGAAAATTTCTTAACCTGAAATAAATTTTCGATACCCGTTGGATCGCATTGGTTCGAATTTTTGCTTTCCACCAGTCCGAAATTCTGAGTTGTGACTGTTCATGAAGAACAGTTACTCGAGGTGTCTACTGACTGTTGTGTCTTGGTCATTCTAGGTTGTATCCTTTAGTAAGGTGACTATCTAAAAAGTCACCAATGTGTCTAAATTTAATCAATAAATCAGTTCGTTTTTGACAATAAGGCAGACATTATAACATATCATTTTCGGCATTAAGGCAGTGTATTTAGAGNAAAAAGTCACCAATGTGTCTAAATTTAATCAATAAATCAGTTCGTTTTTTACAATAAGGCAGACATTATAACATATCATTTTCGGCATTAAGGCAGTGTATTTAGAGAGTACACAACACGATTTTGGTTCGTTGGATGAGCAAATTGGAGTGCTACTTCTATTCGTGTAAAGATCATTATATCATGGGAGGTAGACGCTCGGTTTCCATAATCACCGTGTGTAGGGCGAAATCTGTCTTAAGGACATAGTGTCAAACACTAGCCTTGATCTACCTAAAGTTCAATAACAGTTCCTGTTCTGCAATCGGGTTAGTATTTTTATTGTTTAAACAAATAGTTACGTGTGTCTGTTTGTTGTTACTGTTTCGTTGCCTTGTTGTAACTCTTTCGTTTCTATGTAATTATTTATTGTAACTATTTTGTGATTCTTTACATGGTTCAAATAAAAAATTTTAATAAATAATTTTACAATATTTGGCACACCACAAATAACAATCTTAAGACAGATTTTTGAATTTGTATAGTTGCTTGTTATGTTTTTGATACATGTTTTAATTTTTTAGACTATTCTAAAATATTGCAAAACCTGGTTTGTTTACGATCAGTGATATTTTAGAGAGGCTTGAAAATTTGTGAAAAAATTGCATGTTCTGTTTTTATGTTTAAATTCAAACAGTTACACCAAACAGTGACTTTGTTCTCTGTATAATTTAAACAGTATACCAAATAGTGACACCATACAGAAACGATAAAACAGTAACTTCAAAACAGCAACACAAAATAGTGACATTGTCTCTGTTTTAATAACTTGCTTTGAAAAGTGTTACTGTTTTTCAATTTTTGAATAGTTTGTAATCCTTGTTTATCAGAAATAGCTGCAAATGATAATATTGTTTTTGTTACTACAAATCATGTTGTGTCTGTGATACCTATTTTTGCTCCTACTCATGTGTCTCATGGGGAGAAACCCAAAAAGTTCAATGGGAATGATTTTAAAAGACGGCTACCAAAAATGTTATCTTATCTCACTACGTTGAATCTTACAAAGTTTCTTCATGAGGATGCTCCTATTTGTAGTGAAAATGAGATCAACCACCAAGTTGTTGCTGCGGTGGATGCATGGAAGTACTCTAATTTCTATGTAAAAACTATATTCTTAATGGATTGGATAACATATTATATAATGTGTACAGTCCAATCAAGACGGCTAAAGAGCTGTGAGAATCCTTTGATAGAAAATACAAGACGGAGGATGCTGGAATGAAAAAATTCGTTGTGGGCAGATTCTTTGACTACAAAATGGTGAATTTCAAGATTATCATAAGTCAAGTTCAAGATCTTCAAGTGATCCTACATAAGATTCATGCCGAAAGGATGATACTTAGTGAATCTTTTCAAGTAGCTGCGATTATTGAGAAATTACCACCAAATTGGAAGGATTTCAAAAATTATTTGAAGCACAAACGCTAAGAAATGAAACTTGAAGACTTGATCGTGAGATTGAGGATTGAGGAGGATAATAGAGTCTCCAAAAAGAAAGTTGACAATCATTCCATGGAGTCAAAAGCATATGTGATTAAAGAGGGACATAAAACCAACAAGAAAAGGAAGTATGTTGGCCAGCAAGGGGCCAAGGGTGGTGATTCCAATAGATTCAAAGGCAATTACTTTGTGTGCAATAAATCGGTGCATCATGCAAAGAATTGTCGAAGCCGTAAAATACAAGGGAACCACAAGAAGAAGGTTGTCCAAGCCAATATAACAGAGGTAGAAAAACTTTCTGAAAATGTTTCTAACATAAGTTTTTCTGCTGTAGTATCTGAAGTAAACTTGGTAGAAAATATCAAGGAATGGTGGGTGGACACCAAGGTCACTAGACATATATGTTCGAATAAGAAAATGTTCTCTTCATATGAAGCAATAAATGATGGAGAATAACTCTTTATGGGAAATTCCTACACTTCCAAAATTGAAGGCAAAAGAAAGGTTATATTGAAGATGACTTCCAGAAAAAAACTTACTCTCAATGATGTATTACATGTTCTAGAAATTCGAAAGAATATTGTGTCTAGATCGTTGTTGAGTAAAAAAAGTTTTAGGTTGGTTTTTGAGTCTGACAAATTTGTACTGACCAAGAGTGAAATTTATGTAGGCAAGAGATATATAAGCGATGAGCTCTTTAAGATGAATGTAATGACAATTGTATTAAATTTTAATAATAATAACACATCTTCTGCTTATATGCTTGAGTCTTCCAATGTATGACATGGTAGATTAGGACATACTAATTTTAATACTATGCGTAAATTAATGAATTTAGAATTGTTGCCTAAATTCAATATTAATGCAAATTATAAATGTGAGGTATGTGTTTAATCAAAATTAACGAGAGCATCATTTCATAATATTGAAAGAAGTACTGAATCTCTAGAGTTAATTCATATTGATACATGTGAGTTAAAATATGTTCAAATTAGAAGTGAAAAAAAATATTTTGTTACATTTATTGATGATTGCACAAGATATTGCTATGTATATTTGCCAATGAGTAAAGATGAAACATTAAAAAAAATTATGCACTATAAGAATGAGGTGGAGAATCAACTTGGCAAAAAGATTAAGGCAATAAAAAGTAATCGAGGTGGTGAATATGACTCACCTTTTGATCGGTTCTATCATGAACATGGTATTATTTATCAAACTTACGCCTTATACACCTCAACAAAATAGAATTGCTGAACGTAAAAATAAAACTTTAAAAGAGATGATGAAAGTCATGTTGATTAGTTCGGGATTACCTCAAAACTTGTGAGAGGAAGCTTTACTTTCAGTAAATTATATTTTAAATAGACTACCCCACAAGAAGCTAGATAAAACCCCTTATGAATTATGGAAAGGAAGGAGTCATTCCTACAAATATTTAAAAGTGTGGGGGTATTTGGCTAAAGTGATGGTTTCTATTCCCAAAAGGATTAAGATATGACCTAAAACTATTGATTATATATTTATTGGTTATGCAATAAATAGCAGTGCATATCATTTTTTCATGCGTAAATATGATATTTCTACTATACATGTTAATATAATCATTGAGTCAAGAAATACATCATTTTTTGAAAATATCTTTCCTAATAAAAATGCATATGATGAGAGTTCTCTTAAAAGAGCTCATGATAGTGCGACTAGTAATATAG